TTAATTTTGAAGTCTAATTTGTTAGAAATTGGGATGACTACACAGTCTTCCTTGTTAGGTCCAATTGATTACAATATATTTTTCCAATGATTTACTCTGAGCAAATGAATATATTTGATGTTGAGGTATGTTTCTTGTATACAGGAAAAGGATGGATCCTGTTTTTATATCCACTCTGTTATCTTGTCTTTTTATTAGCAAGTTGAGTGCATTGATATTGAGAGATATTCCTGACCACTCATTGTTAATTCCTATTATTATGTTGTTGGTGGTTGTAGTAGTAGTAGTAGTAGTAGTAGTAGTAGTAGTAGTAGTAGTAGTAGTGTGTGTGTGTGTGTGTGTGTGTGTGTGTCTGTGTCTGTGTCTGTGTGTGTCTGTGTCTGTGTGTGTATTTCCTGTTTCCCTTCTTTTGGTCTTGATTGTATAAGGTTATCTATTGTCTGGAATTTTATTGGTATATGTAATTTCCTTAGGTTGGAGTTTTCTTTCCTTCTGATACCTTCTGTAGGGCTTTATTTGTGGATATATATTGTTTAAATTTGAATTTTCATGAAATATCTTGTTTTCTCCATCTACAATGATTGAAAATTTTGCTTGTTATAGTAGTCTGAGCTGACATCTTTGGTCTCTTAAAGTCTGAAGCACATCTGTCCAAGCCCTTATGGCTTTTAGAGTCTCTATTGAGAAGTCTGGTGTAATTCTAATAGGTCTGCCTTTATATATTACTTGGTTATTTTCCTGTGTAGATTTGAATAATCATTCTTTCTTCTGTATATTTAGTGTTTTGATTAACATGTGACATGGGACTTTGTTTTCTGATCCCATCTTCTTGGTGCTTTGTAAGCTTCTTGTACCTTTATTTATTTTTTTTTTTTTTGGTTTTTCGAGACAGGGTTTCTCTGTGTAGCTTTGTGCCTTTCCTGGAACTCACCTGGTAGTCCAGGCTGGCCTCGAACTCACAGAGATCCACCTGGCTCTGCCTCCCGAGTGCTGGGATTAAAGGCGTGCGCCACCACCGCCCGGTGCTTCTTGTACCTTTATTTGCATGTATTTTGTTAGGATAAGGAAATTTCTTCTGTGATTTTATAAAATGTGTTTTCTTGATTTTTGTGATGAGATGTTTCTCCTTCTTCTATTGCTATTATTATTATTGGGTTTGGTTTTTCACTGTGTCCAAGATTTCCTGGATGTTGTGTTGTGAGATTTTTAGATTTAACAATTTCTTTGACCAATGAATCTATTTTTTCTATTGTATCTTAAATGCCTGATATTCTTTTATCCATCTCTTTTATTCTGTCGATGTATGCATCTGTAGTTCCTGTTTCCTAATCCTGATTTTCCATGTACTATATTCCCTCAGTTTGTGTTTCCTTTATTGTTTTTATTCTAATTTTCACATCATGAATACTTTCCTTCACTTGATTTTTTTCTTGGCTTTCTTGGCATTCTTTAATGAATTTATCAATTTGCTCTAATGTTTGGTTATCTTATTCTTGATTTCTTTATTGGAATGTTTCACTTCCTCCTTACAGACATCTATCATCTTCATAAAGTTGTTTTAAGGTTCTTTTCTTTTTTATATTTTTTTTTAATTTAAGAAATTTATTTCCTTTTACATACCAACTCTTTGTGCTTCAGTTGTGTTGAAGTATTCAGGTTTAACAGTGGTAGAATATCTGGACTCTGGTGGTGCCATATTGACCTGGTTTTTGTTGATTGCATTTTTATATTGGCATTTAGGTGTCTGTGGTTGGGATGATTAGCTCCCATCTCTGAATTATGAGTTTGTCTTTGTTGGATTGATGTTTTGTTCCTTTGTTTCTGTTTCCTCTCTGGTTTTCTTGTCTTTATGCCCTGAATTTTTGTTGGCTGGCATAGCCTCTGTTTTAGTTAGAAGTCTTAGTCCAAGTTGGGAGTTGGCCTTCTTTTGATTAGTTTGGTCTTTGGTGCAGGAGGGGTGTCTCTGTTCTTCTGATTGGAGTGGCATGCACCTGAGCAGCTGAATTCTATTCAAGCTGGTGTGGCTTGTGCCTGTTCTGACTGTGTGCCCACTGTGAGTTTCATGTAAAATGTGTTTCTAGATACAAAAGCTGACATGTAGGACTGGGAGTGGCCTAGGTGGGGGTGATAACAAGGTCCACAGAGGGGAAGAAAACAGTTTTCCAGGAGAATTGCATAGATTGTCACCTGGGAATGGGAACACTAACTGAAGATAGGCCACAGCAGAAGGATGGATATAAAGCTTTGGGTGAAACTGAAAGACTGGACATGGAATAATGGAGGTAGAGTTGAAGATCTGCAGTAAGTCTACTTGCTTTCCTGGATAGAGTAACCTGTGAGATCTTAGGAAGTGAGTTCTGGATTTGGAGGCCAGGCCAAAACAATAAGTACGGAGAAGTAAAGCCTGGAGTTTCTCTGTTGTTAAAGGCCATCCTATTGGTAACAGAGTAGGCAAAGGAATTCCAGATTGTAGAGAGCCCATTGGCTGAATTACTTTGTTAATTGCTCTAAGGTCTGTTACCATTCTCCATTTACCAGATTTCTTTTTAATAACAAATACAGGAGAATTCCAGGCTTTAGAAGGGCTGGTTGACTGTTCAATATGCTGAGCATTTAACTGTTCTTCTACCAGCTCTTCTAAAAAGGAACTTAGGAGGTTAAAATATGTTTTATCCACTTGAGACAAGGGCTTTTGTGTGAAAGAGGCCACAGCAGGTGTTCTACACAGAGAAGGGGATGAGACTAGGAGACTGAACTTGGGGGACCAAATCAGGGGGAGAAGATCTGCGTTTGGCCTATGTCCTTCCCTGCCCAGCTTAGCCTCTGGGTTCCCAGGAAATGCTAGATTGAGGTAAGGTGAGAGACAAAGCAATGAGCTGTAGTAGAGTTATTAGGGGGTCTTTAAGATCCACTAGCTGCCAGGTGGTGCTGGCGGCGGCGGCGGCGGCGGCGGCGGCGGCGGCGAATGCCTTTAATCCCAGCACTCGAGAGGCAGAGCCAGGTAGATCTCAGTGAGTTCGAGGCCAGCCTGGTCTACAGAGCATAGCCAGGACAGGCACCAAAACTACAGAGTAACCCTGTCTTGAAAATAAAAAAAAAAAAGAAAAGCGATCCACTAGCTATGGCGGTGGCTACAGGTACTCCAATGCAAAGCTGGGGATAAAACTGGGGGATTGGACTCAAAGGAATGGAGGGTGAGATACAATCTGCAGTAATCTTACCTCTTCCCTGGCCAGCATGGTCTGTGGCTTCCCATGTAGGGCCTGTTGGAGATGAGGTTGAGATAGTGAATGAGTTGAAGGGGTGAGGTTTGGAGGATAAGATCTGTGTGATCCACTCTAGATGGGGAAGTTGCCACAGATTTTCTGTGGCAGGACTGGCCATAAGAATAGAGGATTGGGCCGGGCGGTGGTGGCGCACGCCTTTAATCCCAGCACTCGGGAGGCAGAGGCAGGTGGATCTTTGTGAGTTCGAGGCCAGCCTGGGCTACCAAGTGAGTTCCAGGAAAGGCGCAAAGCTACACAGAGAAACCCTGTCTCGAAAAACCAAAAAAAAAAAAAAAAAAAAAGAATAGAGGATTGGATCTGGAGGGCCAGAGGAAAAGGAGAAAATCTGTCATCAGCTTACCTCCTTCCCTGGCAGGAATCAGAAAAATAATTTTTAATGAAATATATTTACTACCATCAAAATCAGGAAAATTGAATCACTCAAAAATAATTTGATCTCTTAATTTTGTCTTCCAGAGAGGAAAAAGTTTCCATGTATGAAGCAAAACCACCCATCAGACTCATTCGCCTTTTGTAAAACCTTTTAATTTCCCATCATACAATTCAGTTTTCCCTAGGAAGCTTCATTACCCTCCTCTGCTGCATGCTAGTGCAGTTTCCTATAAGTCTTCTTTCCAACTATTTAATGCATTATTTTCAGTTACTATCATGGTTGTTTACTTTCACATTAAATATTAACTGAATCTGTGATAAAATATATATTAAAAGTTTTGAGACAATAATATCTTTATAAACCCAGAATAGGAGATTGGACTCCAAACAAAGTCTTCATCATTCCAAAGTTCTACCTTTACATGACTAGGATTGACCCAGTTGTGGCAGTGCAGTTTTATTTCCAGAATATGAGTATCTGAGGCAGAAAGACTGTGACTTTGATGCCCATCTGAGTTACAGCATGAGATCCTAACTCAAAACAAAATAAAATCTCCAAGTTGTACTCCTCAAGTAAAGGTTATTAAGAACAGTTTTTGCAAAAGTTTTGTGAAACTGTATTATTCTCAGCTACCCATAGGAAATAGTGTTATCTGCTGTAAACATGAGCTTCTATCAAACTGTTTGTGGGTATTGCCTTCATTCCCATTGATCACTCTCTAGAAATATTTCTATAAGTATCTTTAAACATCTCAGGGCAGGTTGGATATGATGGTGCACATCGGTAATGCCAACGCATTGGAGGCAAAGCCAGGGAGATGTATCTCTGAGGTCTGACTTTGCAATCAGTCTGGTTTCCATAGCAGCTTCCATCACACCAGACAGGGCTCCCTCCATATCAAGATCCTGTCTCAAGAAAAAGTATCCCAGTTCATTTAGTGGGTGTGTTATCACACATGTGTTAACACAGCACTTCATAGATGGAGGCAGGATGACCAGATGTTTCAGGTCTTCATTCTCTACAAAATAAGTTTGAGGACAGCCTCAGTTACATGAGACTTTTTCTCTAATATCCTCTCCTTTCTATAATAAATCCTACACTCTGTCTTTTTGGGCCCTGACATCAGCCACATGAGATAAATGAGCAAATGCTGTGTGTGATGTCTGGCTTCTCTAAATGGCCTATTTCTTTCATAAACCCTATTCAACGATTTCTCATTTCATGGTGCCATTTCTTTCTTCCTGTCCATTTTTCATCCCCCATCTGTAGTTCTCCGCTCTGCATCTATTCTCTCAGAGCTGTCTGTTCATTATCCTCATTATTCTTTCTTCTTCTTTTAGGACACAAGGAGAACGGTAGAGAAGATCTGTGATTTCCTAGGAAAGAAATTGGAGCCAGATGAACTAGATCTCGTCATAAACTACAGTTCATTACAAGCCATGAAGGAAAACAGAATGTCTCATCTTAGTCTCGTGCCACAAGATGTGAATACTAATCCTTCGGTCCTCATGAGAAAAGGTGAAGAGACTTTTTAGTTCCGAAATATGTCAGAACATATTTTTGTTCCAATTGGACTTTAAAAATATTGTTGAGAATGTGTCATCAGTCATTACCCATCACTCTTAGTTTCTCAAAGACCTTACAGGTGAATCTTTCAATGGTAATGACATGGGCGTCAGGAACTCCAAAAAAAGTGATTTGTTCTTGGAGGCAATCTTGGGATTTCAGAGGGTTTTGTCCAATAACCTCAATGTAAAATGAGAAAGTAGATTTGTTTCTATGAGGCTATGTTAGACTCCATGAATCATAGCCCTCGACTCTAAATAAAATATTCAATGCATGGGACCAAAGATATATATATAGAATGATAACCACAGATTCCACTTCAATTAATTGATGGCAAAGATGTTAGCAGGCCAATTTTAGACTCCTAAGGACTAAGTGAACTTTTATCCAGTGTTAAAATCCAACCTAAATTTGGATTGTTTCAGGCTCATATCTGTTGAATTTGTTCTGAATTGGTGGTCTTGGGATTGGGATATCCATCTTCTCTATGTCTGTGCTGCCTTTCTATACTGAAAGCAAATTACAGATGGGGTTCATGGCTTTGAAGTTGAGGAGCGACTGCCAGAATAAATCACACCTGGAGTCTCACCCACACTTAATTATTGGATAATTGGTTAGATGGGACTCAGGGTTGAAGAAAGAATGAATCAGATGTCAGGTCTTTTGTGATGAGTAAAGAACTTGGGTATATATGCAGGAAGCAGAGAGTTGAGGGTTAAATTGTCAAATTCCAATTATTTACATGCTTCAGCCTTAAGCTTCAGTCCTCCTCCATCCTATAGTGTAAGGATCAGGTTTAAAGAATGTAAGGATATGAGGAATATACATAGAGATAATTAAGGTAAAGTGGTTAGTGGATTGCACTTAACCCAGTACTCCTGGTATTCTTATAAGAGGAAGTTTGAGCTAACATTTGAGCACACATACATGTCACCTCAAGAATATGGTCATCTACACACTAAGGACTGATGCCTGTGAGAGATTCCACTGATGTTGACAACTTCAGTTTCCTATGTGTGCCAGACTCTGTGGAGACAGTCCTCTGCACTAGATCCAAAGGTCTCATGTCATAAGAGAAGTTGCCCATTCTTGGATTTCCTGTAATGAATCAGAATTTGGTAGAGGTAAAAGAGTATGTGTACATAAATGGCATTAATGAAATGGCAAAAGGAATGAAGTGACTTGTTTAACAGAAAAAGTCTGTGTAAACTGTCAAAGTTTTTATCAGAGACACACTGGAAGAGATGCAATAGAATTTAAGACACAATTCCATGAGGACAACTGACATTTCCTTTTTTCTCTGTAGATTCTTCTAGGATGATACCACAGTGGGGTTTTAGTTTAGTCTCTTTCAAAACACTATTTTTCATGTGTCATATACTGTAGGAAGAATATATATAATTTCTGTCAAAAAAACTGGACTCCATAAGTCATTCATAATTTAACTATCATAGTAATTATATACGAAATCCATTTCTTTCACCTTTGAAAGTAACTTTTACTCTGGGGAATTATTTTCCTTGTACTCTCACTCATTGTAAGCCATTGAAGGGGAGACCAACTTCATTTGTATCCCCACCCTGATTCATGACTTCATTATAGAGGATGCTGAGACCAATATTTTGGGAAACACTTTTGAAAGAATAAAATACACGAGGATAATGTTGGTCTTCTCAACTTCTACATCAGATTGGTTCCCCTTTTAATCTTGAAGGTATGAGCAGATCAAAGATTAATACTAAAATTAATGTCATTACTTACCATTAAATATATAATTCCTTAAATCTTAATGCATGAAAAGTTGTATTAAGTGCTATACTGTCCTTAAGTGGGGGAAATTCTTTAGACCTATTTCCACTGTCCTTTAGTTGCTTTTCTCATGACACCAGAATAATAAATACCTTTTCTTGCCCCTGGAGAACTACTCTGAAGAGTTACTCTTTACCTGGGAGATTCAATCAATTGCCTAGATGGGATTAATCTGGTTTTAGCTCCAAGCAATAATTTTCCACAAACAATTTTAGCAATTATGATTCAATATTTAGATAGTGCATAAAATGCAGGCCAGTGAGAAGTTCATCCTCACTCAGCCACTGTTTAGCTGACAGAAATTTAAAAAGACATTGTTACAATCAAGACACATGGGAGGAAATATCTTCTGAAAACCTTCAAAGGTTTTGACCCTCATTACTACACAGTGGATATTCCTTCAAAAGAGTGCTTGAGCCATTATCCATTTTTATTGGTGTCTGAGAAGACATTAATCTGAAACACAGTGGAAAGAAGACCTAGGTAGAAGCCTACTATCTACATGCCAAAAAAGCCAAGGAATGTCTAGACAACAACCTTTTGTGAGCTCTGCATCTTCCAGAACTATAAGGAAGTCACTTTCCAATAAAAATTAAGCCACCATTCATTAAAAATATCCTATCTTCTGACACAATGAATTTGAGGAGGTTTTTAGAAAGTATGTGCAGGGGACCAGCCTTAGAATTTTCAGGGGTCCAAAGGATGGGATACCTGGAAGGCATAGTAACAACTCAAAGACAGTGCTCAAGCAAACTGACAGGTCACTTCAGGCTTCTGCAGTTGCTAAGTATCTTTTGCTACAGCTTTTTTTTGCCTTGGTAACCTCAGTCTTTTATTTTCATGAGCAAGGGGAAACAGAAAGAAAGGGGAAAATCACCCAATACAGAGAATACTCATGATTCCAAAATTTATTCTTAGAAAATCACCAATATATTCTTCATCATCTTTTACTAAACTATCACAGGCTTAACACCAAAGTAAACATAATCTATTTTTATTACTAATGATTATACAATCTTCTGAGCACTTGACCCAGAGGATAGCAATATGAATTTTGCAAAAAAGGTAAAAATAAGAACAGTGGTTAATATACCAGACAGCCATTTCCTTCTCATACATCCTGCTCTGACCTCAAGACCCCTCCAGCTGCCTAAGTTTCTCCTCAGCCCTCTGCAAACTCCAAGCCCCATGACTGGTTGGCCACAATGACCTCATACAAGAAATCTGTTCCTGCAAGTCAGCGACTTTTGTCCCTCTTATCCCAACTATTCCAAGGAAGACTGTAGCTAGAGTTTTCCTGCCTGGTCCATAGTCAGGACAAATCTCTCTTACCCGCCAGTCCCACAGCCGCTCAGACACAACCAAGTAAACACAGAGACTTATATTGCTTACAAACTGTATGGCCATGGCAGGCTTCTTGCTAACTGTTCTTATAGCTTAAATTAACCCATTTCTATAAATCTATACCTTGCCACGTGGCTCGTGGCTTACTGGCATCTTCACATGTGGCTTGTCATGGTGGCGGCTGGCAGTGTCTCTGACTCAGCCTTCCACTTCCCAGAATTCTTCTCCTCCTTGTCCCGCCTATACTTCCTCCTGCCTGACTGCCTGACTACTGGCCAATCAGTGTTTTATTTACTAACCATTCAGAGCAACACATTTGCCATATAGAACATCCCACAGCAGAAGACCTGATCCAATTATCAGAGCTTCCCTGAAAGGAAGCTCACATTTCCTGGCAGCTCTTTTCAATTTAGGAATGCAATAAATTTGCAGCAATCCCTCTAACCACTGCCACATTGTCTCCACACTCCTTCAGGAGGAATCAAAATATCAGAATTAAAGTTGCCATCTCTCTTTCTTGGTGGAGGCCACTATTTTCCTCCTATTCTAAGGTTCCACACTTTCCATTTGTCATCTCATCTATATGTTACTCCATCCACAGTCTTCAGCCAATACCCCTTAGGTCTCAAGTTTTGCACAATGCTCTTGGAATAGCCTCATCATGGCCAATTTGAGTCCAGTGTGCTGATACACATCATACCATGTGCTAGAGGTGACCACACATTTGGTACAGTTTATCCAAGCCTGAAAAGCTTTCCCGTCTGCAGGTTCTTTCCCATGACCTGCATAGTTGCTTTAATCCCAGCCTGGGTGATCATCTCTGTATAATTTTCCTTGACATTTACTTCATTCCTTTCCTGTATCACAGAAATCACCATTGACCTGAGGACACAGAACATGAATATCAGATAAAAGAAAAAGACTAGCATTACAAGAAGTAATTATATGAAGAACATGACATGTGCATGCCATAAAGCATGGCCTTGGGACACATAGGTACTTCTGTCTTGGCCCTCTAAAGGCATGCTAAGCAGAAGGTTCAGAGGGGAACATACAGAGGGTTGATGGTCCACAATCTCAGGTCCCTCATCTCCAATCTCTGCTGGCAGCATGCCTGGCATCTTATATGCCGTCACCAGCAAGAATAAATGAAGTGAAATATATGCTTACAATGTGTACAGGATTTTGACGTAGTTGGACTTAGAACTTCATGTGTGTCTCTCAAAAGGCATGTTTCTCACATCTGGACTGATTCATCCAGTGGACAACCATATTGAATTTGCTGAGATTCCAGTAGCTCAGCATGCAGTCTAGCTCATGGAGCCAGGTGTGTTGTGGAAAACAATAACAAAACTTGTTCCAATGATGAAGATAATAACAAAGCTGAGAGTAGTAATGGATGCTGATGGGTTCTAATCTTAACAGGTGACACTCTTACAGTCATATCAAGTAATGATACATTATGTGAATATGGGGTATTAAGAATTGCCTTTTATTATGAATTCTTTATATTTTATTTAGTGTATACCATTGGGGATTTAAAGTTAACTTTTGTGATACACAAAGAATGTAATGTGGTAAGAAGAAACATGACTTTTATTGTCAGTCTTTTTGGTTTAGAAGATATATACATCACTACCATGCTGAGTAACATCTAAAAGACTAATTTTTCCTCATCAGCAAAGTGGAAACAAGGCCAATATTTTCCTCACACATTCATGTATGCTTTCAGCAATTCCATACTGAATATGTTCTGTACATCTGATATGCTTTGATAAAAGAAGCCTTTGGTAATATCAGAAACCTTTTATTTTTTCAAATACATTAGATACATATTTCAGGAATCTTTACAAAAAGGAAATTCATCAAAGTGTCACTGCCACGAAAGAAAATACAGCAAGGATTGGGGCTGCATAATTCTACATGGAGGGAAGATAGGAAGAGATAGTTACAGTCACATAAATAAGGAAACAAAATAACAAAATAACAAGAAGTGAATATGGAAGACATCAGCACTCCAGGTTAAGGGAACACAAAATGCAATGTAAGCAGTTGGACAACTTGAGATCTCTGAGGCCAAATCTAAAGACATACTGAAATGGAGTGATGAAAACCAAGGTATGGTAAAAAGGACTGGGGGTGAAATCATGTAGATTTCTATGCATCATGAAACACCATACTAACTGAACATAGAAATCCTGGGATGTCCTCAGCTGGCAGTAGCTGTGTCCACTTTATCTGATGGAAGCATCAAGATGACTGACAAGTAGCTCACCACAGGGTGTATCTCCAGCTCCATGGGATCTGATGTCTTCAACCACAGCAGGCACGTGCATTCATATGCACTTATTCACACATAACTAAAATTAATTTTAAAAGATCTTTTAAAAGTTGCTTGCATACTTTGCAGAACTTTTAATTTAAACACTAAAATGTAGAAATAACAATTGAAGTCTGTTTGGATAGTTGAGATAAGATATAGCATGAAGTCTAATTGGTATTATTAATAAAAACCCAGACACAGATATCAAGATGAAAGCTGAAACATCAGAGAAACAGAGAAGCTAGCCACTAGAAAATTGCCAGCTGAGACTCCCTTCTACTGTCTCCTTCTGCCTTATCTTACTCTCTCCACCCAGCCATATCACTTCCTGTCTCCCCCTGACTAGTGCTGGAATTAAAGGCATGAGAACCCAAGTGCTGAGAACAAAGGTGTGTGCCCCCACTGCCTAGCTCTGTTTCTCCTTGAAACTGGATCAATTTTGTGTACCCCAGGAGGGCCTTGAACTCAACAGAGATCCTCTGCCTCTGCCTCATGAGTTCTGGGATTAAAGGTGTGTACCACCACTGCCTAGCCTCTGTGGTTAACTTGTGGCTTAGCTTAATACTCTGATTTTCAAGCAAGGTTTTTTTTAGATCACAAACAAATACCACCACATTAAGAAACTCTGTTGCATTGGATGGTGTGATGGAATCACATGTAGTAAGCAGCAGGGATAATCTGGACATATAAAAATATAGATCCAATATTGATACTGTTAGATTGTGCAGTTGATATGTTGGTATAGGAGAAGGTTGACATTATTTCTACAGAGGTAGAAAACTGTTTGCATATTTTTTCAGGGCATAAGAAGTGTTCTCCACCGAGTCAGTGGTAGTTATTAAATGTGTGGTCCTTGTCAAGCACATGGTGATAGCATGTCAAGGAAAGAATGAGAGCAGGTTTAAGATCGTAATTAACCCATTTTTGTGTCTTCTTCATATTTTCTAGGCATAGTTGGGGACTGGAAGAATCACTTTACAGTAGCCCAAGCTGAAACCTTTGGTAAAGTATTCCAAGAGAAAATGGCTGGTTTCCCTCCAGGGCTGTTTCCATGGGAATAAATTCTGAAAACATTTGAATCATGTATAGACAGTGGGATTTAATTTCCTGCTGTTGTACATGTGAATGGTTGGATGTTGTCATAGAATAAATCTTGTTAATGAATTGTGAAGTTTTTTTTAAATATTTATTTATTTTATGTATATGAGTGACCTGTCTTCATGCACACAGGAACAGAGAATCAGATCCCATAACAGATGGTTGTGAGCCACCATGTGGATGCTTGGAATTGAACTTAGGACCTCTAGAAGAACAGCCAGTGCTCTTAACCACTAAGCCAATTCTCCAGCCCGAATTGTGGAGTTTTTTAAATGAATTATTAGTAGTAATAATAGCAGTGTATTAGTGCTGGTAATAGTGGAGTAGTGGTGGTTGTTTTTTCTGTATTTTTTATTGGTTTATTTGTGTGTGTGTGTGTGTGTGTGTGTGTGTGTGTGTGTGTGTGTGTGTGTGTGTGTGGACACTTCTGTGTATAGTACTTTTCGGGACCTTAACAGTACATTGGTTTCCAATCAATTTCAGTTACATGTGCTGGAAGCCCTCTGCCTTGTGTTTTAGGAACTAAACTCATTTTCTATGCAAGAGTAGTACAGTGCACATGACCTGTGAATCATCTCTGTAGCCCTGAATCTTGGAGTCTTGAGTCATCAAATATTTGCTGCTTTCATTAGGGATTTGCTCTACATTGTCAGTTTTGTCCAACTTGTATCATGCAATTCCAGCTTAAAAATTATCGTCTAATTTCTGAAATATAAAACTGAACACTACACAAATCTGCAAGTAATTTTTAGTCTGTGACATTCAGGCAAAAAATAAATAAGTTGGAATTACCGAGAAGAAGGTTAATTCTTTTTTCTTAGAAAGGAATGTTCTGTAGATATCGAGTAAGTCCATTTGAGTCATAACATCAGTTAAGTCCTTTATTTCTCTGTTAAGTTTTGATTTGGCAGATCTGTCCAGTGATGAAAGTGGGGTGTTGAAGACTCCCACTATTAATGTGTGGAGTTTTATATGTGGTTTAAACTTTAGTAATGTTTCTTTTATATATGTGAGTACCCTTGTAGTTGGGGCATAAATGTTCAGAATTGAAACTTCATTTTGGTGGATCTTTCATGTGATGAGTATGTAATGCCCTTCTTGATCGCTTTTGACTGATTTTAGTTTGAAGTCTATTTTGATGGATATTAGGATGGCTATACCAGCTTGCTCCTTAAGAACATTTGATTGGAAAGTGTTTTCCCAGCCTTTTATTCTTACATGGTGTCTATCTTTGAATTTGAGGTGTGTTTCTTGTATGCAGCAGAAAAATGGGTCCTGCTTTCATATCCATTCTGTAAGTCTGTGTCTTTTTATAGGTGAATTAATCATTGATGTTAAGGGATATTAATGACCAGTGATTGCTCATTCCTGTTATTTTTTGATGGTAGTGTGTGTGTACTTCTCTTCTTTGGGGTTTACTGCTGTGGCTTTATGTATTGCCTGTGTTTCCATGGGTGTATCTGACTTCCTTAGGTTGGAATTTTCCTTCTAGTGCTTTCTATAGGGCTGGGTTTGTGGATAAGTATTTTTTAAATCTGGCTTTGTCTTAGAATGTCTTTTTCACTCCATTTATGATGGTTGAAAGTTTTGCTGGGTATATTAGTCTAGGCTGGCATCCATGGTCTCTTAGTGTCTGCATTACATCTGTCCAAGTCCTTCTGGCTTTCAAAGTCTCCATTGATAAATCAGGTGTTATTCTGATGAGTTTGCCTTTATAAGTCACTTGGCCTTTTTCCTTTGCTGCTCTTAATATTCTTTCTTTATTCTGTACATTTAGTTGTTTAATTATTGTGTGGTGAGGGGACTTTTGGGGGGTCTAGTCTGTTGGTGTTCTATAGACTTCTTTTATCTTCATAGGCATTTCCTTCTTTAAGTTAGGAAAGTTTTCTTCTGTGATCTTGTTGAACATATTTTCTGTGCCTTTGAGTTGGTATTCTTCTCCTTCCTCTATCCCTATTATTCATAGGTTTGGTCTTTTCATGGTGTCCAAAATTTCTTGGACATTTTGGGTCACGACTTTGTTGGCTTTAGTTGACTGATGAATCTATTTCTTCTACCGTATCTTCCATGCCAGAGATCCTCTCTGTTAGTTATACTTGCATCTGAAGTTCCTGTTTGTTTACTTAGATTTTCTATTTCCAGCATTCCCTCTGTTTGTGTCTTCTTCGTTTTTCTATTTCCTTTTTCAGGACTTGGACTGTTTCCTTCATTGGTTTCATTGCTTTTTCATAATTTTCTTCCAGGGCTTTATTGTTTTCTTCTGCTTTATTTGTCCTTTCCTCTAGTTTTTTTTATAGTGTTCTTCCCATTTTTTGTTTGTTTTTTCCTCAATTTCATTTTTGATTTCTTCTATATAAGCCTCTACCCTCTTCGTGAAGATATTCATAAGGTTGCTTTCTTCTGCTTCCTCCATTTTGTGATGTTCAGGTCTAGCTGTTGGAGGAGGACTAGGTTCTGGTGATGCTGTATTGCTCTTCATTTTGTTGTATGTACTTCTGCCTCGATGTCTGCCCATCTCCGTGTGGATTCGTTCTTGGTCTTATCAGCACTCTTGGTCCAGACAGAGCTGACAGATTCAGGAAGCCTCTCTCTCTTGTCCAGATGGGAGTCTGGGACAGGATGGGAGCTGGGAGCTTGTCTCTAAGTCTCAGGAAATGGCTGGGGTCTCTGGCCAGATGGGCGTAGGTGCAGGGGGTGGAGATTGCAGGGTCTGCCGGATGTCTTGGAGAAGGGGAACTTTCCTGGTGAGGGTGGGTGGGATCCTCCAGATGGCCAGAACCTGGGGTCAAGTTGGGCAGGTCTTCCCTGGAATAGCTGGTGCCAGGGATGTGATCTAGGGGCAGAGCTCTCTGCGTCTGAGCCCAGGTATTCACCGCTTCTCCAGATGGGAGGTCCGGGACAGCAATACCTCTTAAGCAGGTATATGATAAAAACAGAAGACAGAAGTTGGTTGGGTAGAAAGTGTTCTAAAAAATTATCTTAACTGAGGGCTAGAAAACTGTCAGGGGGCACTGATTCCTGCTGATACCTAGACAGCAGTTCAACCTAACAGACACACTGTTCAAACTCCACTGTGTGGATTCATATGGGCAATTAGTTTAACAAGTTAGAAATGAAGAAAACAAGAAGCTATTCCAACAGCAGAAAGTTTCCATAATACAACATAATGAGGAAATGAAACCAACTCCAGCTATTGCAAGAAAAAGATATTAACTGATGTCACTGCATTTTTAAATTTATCTTGTATTTCTGTTCCAACTTTTTAGTTTAGTGTAGAGACTGGTGAGTTTCAGATGTTTCCATACGTGAGGGCCACTGTTCTTTGTCTTTCATATGTTTTTACTACTTTAAAATATTTATTTGCCCTGGAGGAGGTGGGAACGTGGGGTGAGCTGGGGGAAAGGGGAGGGGGTAGGAGGGGGGAGAATAGGGGAACCCGTGGCTGATATGTAGAACTGAATGGTATTGTAAAATAAAATAAAATAAATTTTTAAAAAAGAAGAAAAAAATATTTGTTTTTGGCGAGGGTTGAAGGAAAGAGAGCCTGTGGGAGCGGGAGATCCCAGCTGGATCAAGGACAGAGAGGGAGAACAAGGAATAGGAAGCCATGGTAAATGAAGACCACATGAGAATAGGAAGAAGCAAAATGCTAGAGAGGCCCACAGAAATCCACAAAGATACCCCCACAATAGACTGCTGGCAATAGTTGAGAGACAGCCCGAACTGACCTACTCTGGTGATGGAATGGCCAAACACCCTAATTGTCATGCTAGAAAGAAACCCCATCCAATGACTGAAGGGTCTGGATGCAGTGATCCACTGCTAGGTTCTGGGTGGAGCTCCTGGAGTCTAATTAGCGAGAAAGAGGAGGGTTTAAATGAGTGAGAATTGTTGAAATCAAGGTTGGATAAAGCACAGGGACAAATACCCAAACGAATGGAAACACATGAACTATGAACCAATGGCCGAGGGCCCCCCAACTGGATCAGGCCCTCTGAATGGGTGAGACAGTTGATTGGCTTGATCTGTTTGGGAGGCATCCAGGCAGTGGGACCCGGTCCTGTGCTCATTGCATGAGTTGGCTGTTTGAAACCTGGGGCTTATGCAGGGACACTTGGCTTGGCCTGGGAGGAGGGGACTGGACCTGCCTGGACTGAGTCTACCAGCTTGATCTCAGTTCTCAGGGGAGGCTTTGCCCTGGAGGAGGTGGGAATGGGGTGTGGGCTGGGGGGAAGGGGAGAGGGGCAAGAGGGGGGAGAACAAGGGAATCCGTGGCTGATATGTAGAACTGAATTGTATTGTAAAATAAAATAAAAAAAACTTTCAAACTAAAAAAAAAATATTAATGGATAATTATAAAAAATAATAATGTGGGAACAAGTGCAAGCAATTAAGTGTATATATTTGTGTGGCTGGTACTCTCAGAAATAAGAAAAGGGTATCAGATCCCCTGGAACTGGAGTTACACATGGTTATTAGCCACCATGTGGGTTTAAGGAATCAAACCTGTGTCTTCTGAAAGAGCAGTAATAATTTTTAAGACTTGTGTTTACTTCATGGGTATGTGTTTTACCTGCATGTATCTCTGTGTGCCATGTGTGTGCCTGGTAGTCATCAAGGCCAGAAGAGAGCATCAGATCTGCAAAACTGACTGGTTGTGAGATACATTGTGCATGCTAAGAAATAAAATCAAGTACACTGGACTTTCTTCTCTGCCTCTCCTTTTACATCTGATCTTAATGTAATTTTGGGAACTTCAAAGTCTCACCAACAGAGCTGCCTAAATATGAGCTGAACACAGTGGACACTGTACATAGGAACATGTACAAAGGAAAGCTCAGAAGACCTCAACCCTACACAAAGAACAACAGGCAACTAAGGAATGCTGAGAACAGGTGGAATAGTCTTCCGTACAGTAGAGCTCACAATTTGGTTTACAAGTATCCTTGAAAAGATACAATGGAAATTATATAGATAGAACAGGTTGTACTTATATAATTAAGAATATATACATACACATATAACAATAATTAATGAAGAAATCAAAGGAGGGCAAGAAGAGATAA